AATAGCGCTGTTTTAACAGCACCCCCTTTCATCTTCAAATAAATGCACCCTCCTCAGAGTGCGCCCAAGTGCTTGTTGATAGAGCTGTAGAAGCTGGTGATAGCCTAGCATACTGAGCAGGATGGTGGACACGTACGTTCTCATGCAAGTTAGTCGTGTTTAAGTACTTTGCTCGCACGACACGTGTCCACAAGTGGCACACGGCTTTGGTTACATCCTTAGTTTTACCTCTTTCATCTTGTTTAAAGCCTTGAAATGTCTCTGTCAACGCATTTCGGGCAGTTTGTCCAAAGTTTGTTCATTTTGTGCTCCAGATGGGTTGAGCGAGTTAAAAGTTTTAATTGGTGGCACAGCAAAAACATAATTGAAAGTTTTATTTATTTATTTATTTATTTTTTTACATGCTGTTGTCAAATATAGGTCACTTGAAAAATGTGGCCAAAAAACGAAAGAAAAGTATTACATGCCTAGTTAATATTCTGTTATTAAATTTGATATTCACTGTAAGTGCGCCTGCAGGTGCAGGGGCGCAGCACAGGCGAAGGAGTGACGACTGCAATTCGTGAGGGACAAACAAAGTGAAAATATGAATGACAAATATGAATATAGAGGAACAAATAAAAAGTTGATGTTTCAACTCATTGTAGGGTGTCTTCCTCTCTCTTGTACTCAACTTAATTATTTCCAACATAGGCCAGTCCTGACAGGAGCGACACTGTGAGGGCTAGACATTTTGGCTCTTAGAATATTACATCATGTTTCCTAATTGCAGTTGGACCTTAGATTCTCCATGTGTCTCTATAACATATCTCTGAGGTCTGATAAGGATCCAACGGGACTTAGATTTCTTAACACAAAACTGAGTCTGTCTATTAAAGTTTTGCATACCTATTCTTTCCAACTTTACTTCAGGGTTCCACATGATGTCCAGCTCCTGCCCAGTCCAGACGATGACATCTTTGGTTTTTGGCTTCAGTGAAAGCTGCTCTTCTTCCTGATTGAGGGAGATTTCCTCCTGTTCCTCTTTAGTCTCTGGAAGATCTGTGTCCTCCTGGTTGAGACTGGAGTTCCTCTTCTGGCTACAGTTTTCCTTACAATCATGTTGCTGTGGGAGGTCTTGACGGACACGACACACAAGAAAAAAGTAACACTGTGAGCAGATCTCAGATATGTGAGCGATATTTAAATATTCTCTCTCATGCAGTGAACAGCGAATAATTCTGTTTACATACAGAAAGTCATAATTTATGAGGCGTACAGCTCGCTACTCCAACTTGGTCCTTGTGGGTATTTTTCTACATTCTGCGTGCAGTTCTGGGTCAACTTGACTTAAATCTATATGGAGGAAATGTTTGTTTTTTATTAAACAACAGAAGATTTTAAACCCAGTTTTTATTTTACTGTGCTAACAGAAAACTTGTCTTAGGTGAGGTAGTATGCCAGGTGGTAATGCACGCCACGTGTCATTGTGAGCTCTCTTCATGAGGAGTCAACTCTGATATCATCGCCTGATGTTTTAATATGAGTCTTATTCATTTCAGTATTATGAAATCTGTATATTACAGTTTTGCATACCTATTGTGGTCAGCTTTACTCCAGGTTTCCACAAAAAATCCAGCACAAACAAAATAAACAAATGAAAAGTAGTATGAATTGAATATGATAATGAAATCTATTATCCAACAAATCCATGATGCAAATCTCAAATTCCACCACATCCCAAAGTTGCGCTATTTTGAGCTGGTGACTCTGAAGACCGTCTGACCAGTGAATTCACTGTCACTTCGAGGGTATGGAGAACACTGTAGCCCATTACACTATTCTATTGATGCAGCCCATCACCTGA